GTGGGCCCCCCCCCCCCCCACTTTTAATATCACGTAAATTCGTCCCCCGCACTTTTTTGGGCAAATGTGTTCGCATAGAGGTTTTTAAGAGCCGGTGTGAATAAATATAGATTTAAATTCAAAGTGACAGGATAGTCTGTGCATGATCTGATGTTTTATTCGGACCCAGAATAAGGCGAGATGAACATAGCGGAGCGCTAAACACTTTGTGCAGTGTATGTTTCATTCATACTCGAAGCCGGAGGGCTCTCTCGCTCAGAAAGTTGTACCAGGAAATTCCTAATATGGACAAAAGTGTCCAGCTATCGCTGTATGAAAACAGTTGTTTTCACAGAAAACAGAAACGTTTGGAAACATGAAGACATTAAACATACGATTGCGACAATATATGGTTGTCAAGTCATCGCCAGGTAATAAATACAGTATATGAACAATGCAGTGCTAATTGACATAGCATTTATTACAGTATAGAAACTATTCTGCCTTATGTGATAAAAAAAAGTGTTTGTAGTATATAAACAGATCATTATTATTAGTTATTGTCCAGCAGTTATCTGATTTATAAGTCAATTAAAAGCTAGAAATTAGAGAACAATTAAAGTTGCCTATACACCAGCCAAAAGTTTTTGAACAGTAAGATTTGTAATGTTTTTTAAAGAAGTCTCTTCTGTTCACCAAGCCTGCATTTATTTGATCCAAAGTACAGCAAAAGCAGTAATATTTTGAAATATTTTTACTAGGCTATTTAAAAGAACTATTTTCTATTTGAATATATTTTAAAATGTAATTTATTGTGATTTCAAAGCAAACGTTTTAGCATCAATACTCCAGTCACACGATCCTTCAGAAATCATTCTAATATTCTGATTTGCTGCTCAAAAACATTTATTATTATGATGTTGAAAACAGCTGAGTAGAATTTTTTCAGGTTTCTTTGATGAATAGAAAGTTCAGAAGAGCAGCATTTACCTGAAATAGAAATCTTTTGTAACATTATAAATGTCTTTATCATCACTTTTGATCAGTTTAAAGCATCCTTGCTAAACAAAAGTGTTCATTTCTATAATTTATTTTCCAAAAAAATAAAAATTATACTGACTAAGCTTTTGAATGGTATGGTGTATAATGTTACAAAAGCTTTTTATTTCACATAAATACTGATATTTGGATCCTTCTATTCATCAAAGAATCCTGAAAACATTTACTTACTGTTTTAAATATTGATAATAATAATAATAATTAAAAAAGGTTTCTTGAGCATATTATAATGATTTCTGAAGGATGTGACACTGGAGTAATGATGCTGAAAATTCAGCTTTGATCACAGCAATCATTTTAAAATATATTCAAATAGAAAGCAGTTATTTTAAATAGTAAAAATATTTCACAATATTACTGCTTTTGCTGTACTTTGAATCAAATAAATGCAGGCTTGGTGAGCAGAGGAGACTTCTTTAAAAAAACATTAAAAATCTTACTGTTCAAAAACTGTTTACTGGTAGGTTATATAGATTACAGAAATGTTATATTATAATGTTTTATATATATATATATATATATATATATATATATATATATATACACGTTTCTGTCCCCCTCACTTCTGAAATGATGGCTACGCCCCTGTCCGTAGCCAGTCCAGGTAGTTTGAGCTGTGGAATTAAAGAAATGTTTGATATCAACAATCAGATCATCTGTACTGTTGAATTATCATTCCTGATGGTGTGGTGCTTCTCAGTCTCTCAAAGGGATTATAATGAATGAAATCAGTGGTGTATCTAATTTTGTATTGAAAACTGTCAAAATCTGACACAGGTTACAGTGCAGCTGATGTGAATGCTACCTGTGGTTAAGCAGCTGACTGAGAGCCGATGAGAAGAACAGCGGGAGCCATCCTACAGATTCAGTGTGTGTAAGACTTCTGCCAGTGTTCTTCTGACCTGCAACTTCTCTGTGACTCCATATTAAATGGTTCGAATCGTTTCCTCATAATAACTCATCATGTGTCTGTCCAGCCTCATGCCGAAAAACACTGCTGCTATCAGAGACAGATAGGGAAGTCGTGGCCTAATGGTTAGAGAGTCGGACTCATAACCCAAAGGTTGTGGGTTCGAGTCTCGTACCGGCAGGGATTGTAGGTGGGGGGAGTGAATGTACAGCGCTCTCTTCCACCTTCAATACCACGACTGAGGTGCCCTTGAGCAAGGCACCGAACCCCCAACTGCTCCCTGGGCGCCGCAGCATAAATGGCTGCCCACTGCTCCGGGTGTGTGTTCACGGTGTGTGTGTGTTCACTGCTGTGTGTGTGCACTTTGGATGGGTTAAACGCAGAGTCAAAGAAAAAAAGATAACTACCAAAAGCATGAAGGAAACTGGTAAAAAAAATAAAATCTGATTTCTGGTATGTAACTTTGTAATGTATGTAAAATTAATGGTTCATTTGTGTGTGTGAATGTGGATCATGTGGGCATTCAGTGTGTTCACACTGCCATCATCAGGATGAGCTCAGGAACTGATCAGTGATCAGCAGGGTTTGGAGACGTTCACAGATGGTCTGCTGTGATGTTGTGTGTCACCAAACTCTGTTCCTCTGAAAGGCTTGATAACACTTCTTCTTTCTTTCACCTCGTCATCTGTGGTCAGATGCCTTTAAACATCAAATGAGAGAGAGAACAAAGTGCTTTAGTGAACTCAGAGCCAGTTAAAGGTCTTTCTGTTATTAACAGGGATAATCAGCTACCTGCTCAAATCATCCACCTGCTATGCAAATACTCTCTTTCTCTTTTACACACACACACACACACACACCTCCAGCACGCTACTTACTGGACTCACATTTGCATCCAAACCTCACAGCAGAGAGCTTCCTGATGAACTGAACGCCTCATGTATCATGGTAAAGTACAATTATTTCTATTTAGTTGTATGTTAGACATTTAGGAATACATGTTATTGGCATTTGAGTTTTAGATGCTAAATGTAATCATCATTTGAAGTGGCAACATCCAAGCATTAGTGTCATTTATTACCTGGAATTGATGTCAGATAATGTACATGTATACCTTTCAGAAAGGTTAGACAGTTTTGAATTTCTGCTTTTCTACTTTAACACGCTAATGTTTCAGCTCCTCATTCGCAGTGAATAAAACGCCACATTGTTCTCTGTTATTTTTGCACCTTTTCCCCCAAGATTACATTTAATGCCTTAAACTGCTTATATTTATGTCTTCGCCTTCAGTCAAAACATTACTAAACCTGTTTGCATATCTTTAAAGTAAAACATTGCTTTTATGAATTAAATAATCAAAGTTATCTGCTGTGTTTTCTCTCTGATGTACGTGTAGCAACAAAAGAGAAGTGAATAACAATGACCTACAGTATTCGTCTATGTGTATTTCTAAATCAAGATAAGCAGCCGTTTGATTGAGTGTTGACAAATGAAATATTATTTATATTTATAATATTACATATAGTGAAATGTTCCATCGTCCTATAGCATTTCTACACTCTCCATCCACATATTTACATAATCTTTTAATATCCGGGAAGTGTTTAACAAAACCAGCTAGCAAAGATCAATGCATATTGTTCTCGTTAGACTTTAAGTCTGAGTGTTTTGGTCACCCAAAATGATGTTTTCTTTATTTTTAGAGTTTCTTTGGGAAGTTGAAACCATCTCTACTGTAAATACTAAAGTCATTTTTCATCAAACATTACATTTTTATCCTCTAAATCTTGCATAACTGTCTAATTTACCTGTTATTTTTCTTCTGTACAGACATGGCGGACCACCAGCTCCACCCAGAAGAACAGGTGCTTTGATGACAACATGCCTTACCTGTGTAAAAACAGAAGATTAAAACATCTATAGAACAAAATATTCATGTACTTTCTCACAAACATTAGGATTTTAGGTTAAAACAAAGGTATAAGGGATCATTTGTGACGTGCTATTTCAGTTTTAATCACCTTTTAGCATACTGCAGTTAAAATATTTAATACATTAATTAATAAAAGTACAAAAAACTATGTAGCTTCTAAATTAGTATGAGGTTATATCAACTGTACATATAAGAATAATATGTTTCGCAGAACTGTATACAAAAGCAAAAAAGCGGTGAAAATCAGCTACAGCAATCTGTAAAATATGAGTAAATAAAATGAAAATAAATACGGCCCATAAACACCTCACGTGTTTTAAAAATTTACAAACACCTTTTAAAAAGGCAGAAAAGCTGGTTAGTCAAATTAGGCACCATATAATTTAACTTGGATGAAAATGAGGCTGTGAGGGATCGGCTTACAGTATTTATAATGGCACACACTGTCCTCCTAGATCAAGTGATTTCACAACTTTCAATACTATTTTATGGAGTTTTTGTCTACTGTAAGTTTTGTGCCCAGAAAAAGGTTTCGGAAGTCAAACAAACCTCAAAGCAGCATCAAATATGGCGCTGACGCAGCGCGCCAATTTTCATTATCATCACATTTTTTTTCGTTCTGTCAACCCAAAGTGCTTTAACAGTAAACAGCAAGAGCACCAAAGACGCAAATAATCCAAACACAAGCGTTTTGCTTATCTGTGACTTATTTTCTGCATTTCTTCTAAAGTTTATTGACGGTTTGTCGCGTTTCTGTCGAATGCTGGCGTTCTTGAAGATCAACTCAAGTTCCCTACATGCACCGCGGCACAAATAAATAATACACGTTTCTGTGTACTGTGTTAATGTTACAATTTTACGGTTTACTTCTTATGCTGTTGTGTTTGTTGTTGCAAGAAGTTAGGCTACTTGTAGTGGCGATTATTCCGAGCTCGTATTTATTGGTTATCACCGTTAATGTGACGTGTATCTTAATTATTGTGGTTGCATTCGAAGAATCATTTATCTTATGTTTTTAAAATGTATTTTATCTTGTAATATTCTAGTAATAGGTTTGTGAACCTAAATATCGTTGTACTGAAACACAAAAATATGTACTGACGGTGAAGTGATAAATGCAATCTATTATTGATCTGTTGGACTTTTTATTTCACATTTCATGTGATCTCATTAAAACCTTTCAATTCTTTGTAGATAACAGTTCTGGATATGGCTGGCCAGAGGGGGAATTTGTAAGTATTGTGCAAATATCACTTGTCTAAACACATAGACATACAAAGTTAAAAGGTGTGGGAACATTCATACTTCCCGTTGTGTCTCCAGGAGGTATCACTTCCCTACATCTACTGTCCATCATTCTTCTCTGAGAGCTGTGAGGTCAACAGTTTATTAGTATAAGAAACTCAATCCCACATGACATTAGCATTTCTCAGAACCTCTCAAAAAATCGTTGGCACATCGCATGTTGGGAATACATAGCTACTTTTGAATAATCGTCAATATAAAAAGATGTTTCTCTTGCCCCTTAAATGGCTAATCTGAACCATAATTAATAACATCATTGCATATGACTATTTACCTCTTGTGACCCAATTATGGATGCATGTGAGCTTCTTTTATACACATCTGATCAATCTCAACCATTTTCAGGATGAGGAAGATGGTGATACATATGAAGCTCCACCATGTGAACGTCCCACCATTAAAGTCCAACCGTGCCAAGTAGAGGAGAATGTTTACCTGGGTATCTATCTATCTATCTATCTATCTATCTATCTATCTATCTATCTATCTATCTATCTATCTGCATTAATAATGCTGATAAATAAAAATAAAAATATTTTAGTGTCTAATGTAGCATTTGTTTTTCTTTAGGTTATCCGGATCGAAACCCGAACCCTGTTACTCCCAAAAGGCAGGCAGCACCGCCGCCACGACCGGCCAAGATCACCCCGATAGGGAAAAGCATGGTAAAACATCTAAATTACTGCAATATCTGTGTCTTAGCCTTTATTGTGAGTTTATTTCACAGAAGAGGCTTGTGTAGCTTTTAGATTCAGCTGTGTGTTTCTTTTGCTTCTAGAAGCCAGAGCCACCTCACGACCCGGAGCGGTTTTACATCGACCCCAATGATAGCAAACGTGAGTCTCTGAAAACAAGCTCATGAATTAGGAAAAGAAAGAATCAGTTTTTGATGCAGGATCAAGGATTTATCAGAGTAAGACTACAGTAAAAACAGTAATATTGCAAAATATTATTAGTTATTTAAAGGGGTCATATGATGCGATTCCAATTGTTCCTTTCTCTTTGGAGTGTTACAAGCTCTTGGTGCATAAAGAAGTAATCTGTAAAGTTGCAAAGACTAAAGTCTCAAATCCAAAGAGATATTCTTTATAAAAGTTAAGAGTTAACCACACCTACCTAAAACGCCTCGTTCTAACACGCCCCCACATGTCTACGTCACTGTGTGGGAAGATTTGCATAACACCGCCCAAATGTTCACGCAAAGAAAGAAGGCGTAACTTTTATTCTTGCTGTAGTATTGTTGCTGCCGCCGCCGCCATGTCGTGAAGACGTGATGTGATGTGACATGTGGCCAAGTATGGTGATATTTGGTGGTTCCCATACTCGGAATTAGTGCTTTGCGTTTAGCAGTGAACACACACACACCGTGAACACACACCCGGAGCAGTGGGCAGCCATTTATGCTGCGGTGCCCGGGGAGCAGTTGGGGGTTCGGTGCCTTGCTCAAGGGCACCTCAGTCGTGGTATTGAAGGTGGGAGAGAGCGCTGTACATTCACTCCCCCCACCTACAATCCCTGTATGAGGCTCGAACCCGCAAGCTTTGGGTTACAAGTCCAACTTTCTAACCATTAGGCCACGACTTCCCCTACACTGTGAGTTTCGTTGTGAAAGCGAAACCACTTTGTTTGGTCTTCCGTTTCCTGATCCTGTGAGAGTAGACTACAATGCCGGCTGTTCTGACTCACAGACTGTAAGTATGTTTCATATTTAAAGAATTTGCCACTCATGATTAAACACGAGTTTTGAGCAGTGTAGAGTAGCGCTTGTTGTTTGTCATTTCTCCGATCACAAATGCAGACATGGTTTTATGTTTATGCGGCGTGATGCAACACAAAGCGTAAAAAGACAGTATAAGTCATTATAATCCGTAATTATGTCCCCACTGGATGCAACAAATGCCTCATTTATAATGGGTTTTATTGGATTTCTCTCATCGTGCAGGGAGACGGCATCACACAGTATGGTGAGGGGCGTAACATTTCCGTCACACGCTTGAGGTATTCGGCCAATCACAACGCACTGGATAGCTGGCCAATCACAGCACACCTCGCTTTTCAGACTGATGAGCTTTGTAAAAATCGACGTGTTTCAGAAAGGCGGGGCATAGAGGAGAAACAATAATGTACAGTATGTGGAAAATAATGTGTTTTTTGAACCTTAAACCACATAAACACATTTCATTACACCAAATACACAACATAATGTTCTTTTTAGCAGCATCATATGACCCCTTTAAAATAACTGTTTTCTCTGTGAATATATAGTAAACTGTAATGTATTTCTGTGATGCGCAGCTGTATTTTCAGCATCATTCCTCCAGTCTTCAGTGTCACATGATCTTCAGAAATCAGTATAATATGCTGGTTTGCTGCTCAACACACATTTCTGATTATGATCAATGTTGAAAAGTGCTACATAAATAATGGTGACTTGACTTCTGCTGATTAATATTTTGTGGAAACTGTGATACATTTTATTTTTCAGGAATCTTTGATGAATAAGAAGTTGAAAAGAAAAGCATTTATTAGAAATAGAAACTATTTGTAACATTGTAAATGTCTTCACTGTTACTTTTGAACAATTTAATGCATCCTTGCTGAATACAAGTATTAATTTCATTCAAATCAATCTTCAGAGAAAAATGGATGGCCTAATCTACAATAAAACTCTCCAAATTAATATTTTCTAGCTCCTGAGGTAATACGTAAAGATAAACCTGGTAAAAAAGCCCCTCCTAAGAGACCCCCGATGAGACCTCCACCGGCCCCTCAGCAAGACGAAGGTTATTTCAACACAATGTTTACAGATATTTATATTGGATACTACAGTATTATTTGATGACACACTGCATGTTTAGTTACTGTACTCTCTGACCTTCCAGATGTTTACTTGGACCCAAATGAAGGGCAGGTAAACATGACTGAGCATCCAAAATGATAAAGAAAAAAAGTAGTTATTCTTATCAGATATCGTGATCATTTTAATTTCACTTTATATTTGTTTCTGTCAGGATGATGATGACACCTATCTAGAACCTGTAGCAGGTCAGCGCTCCACGTATTTATAACCTAAAATGATTTTATAGAATGATAAAGTGACTTGTATGTCATTCATTATTTTATCTTTTCCAGAACCGCCTGCACCCCGAAGCCCGGCCCGCATGCCATTGCCTCCTAAAACTGTAGGACGAGACCCGCCACCACCAATGTATGCATGTCTAAATCAGGGTTATTATCATAAAATAAAAATAAAACCATATTTAAAAAAAAAAAAAAGATTTTTCTTACTCGAAATAAAATCAAATTTTCAGCTAGCTGCCGAAGCAGCATTTCTGCATTTTTTACTTGATGAAATAACTAAAACTAAAATAAAAATGTATTAAAAGACTATAGACAAACACAACAAAATTATCAATTTGAAAGATTGTATAAAACTATTTTTATTTATTTAGTTTGCTTGTAAAAAATAATATCGTTAATTAAAGTATTACATACAATTCACTGAAGTATTACGACTATTTTCAATTCTATTTGAGTTTTGAGCAATAGATATAGCCTTTGATGCTGATATTGCGTTAAATTGTAAATGAATAATAATTAACTAAAATTAAGAACATTTTTACTCCAAGTACATTAATGTGCATTTTGAAAAAGTTTCTCCTAGAAAAATATTAGATAAAAAAACAAAAAAATCAAATATCAATTTGAAAGATTGTATGTAGTTGTTTTATTATTATTGTGTACAGTTCACTTTAAGTATTGTTATTAAAATGATTTTAAATCTTATTGTTTTTGAGTTTACCATGAATATAATCTTTGATACCGATTTGGTGTCAAATTATAAATAAGTAATAATTAACTATTTAAAAATGAAAAATGAAAATACAAAACTAAAAACGAATTCAAAATATTAAAACTATAACAGTATCTAAATGATACTAAAAATAACGCTGGCCTAAATTCATTTAAATTATAGTTTTTGATAATTAGTTATTTTGCTTACTGTTCTTAGCATCACCTTTATGCATTTAGCAACTTTTATCTTAAACAACTTACAGTGCATTAAATATACATTTATATTCATCAGTATGCATTATGTGTGTTCCCTAAGAACTGAACCTATAACATTAGTGTTGCCAGTTCAAGCATCCCGCAAATGCACAATGGAGCAACCCAAGTCATGTCTAGAATCCGGAATAATCATAGAGAACTTAATGGGGGATTTGTTTCACTCAGATCATCCCGGTAGTGACTCTTATTTGCTAAACCTTGTTTGGTAACACCATTTCTTCTTGTCTTACAGACTGAAGCCTCCTGTTCCCAGAGCCAAATCTGTAAGTACTAGTTTGAGACACATCCATGCATTCATTACAGTCTTCTTCTCCTGAAGGAACTGATTCATTTGTCCGTTTCCTCAGAGTTCGGTCCTGATCGGTGACACTGTGAACAAAGGTTAGAGATTTGTTCTGTTTTAACTCATGCATGATGATATAAACCCACATGTACAGCTTCATTTGACGTCCTCTCTGATCGTTTAGTTCTGCCGCCAGAAGTAAAACGTGCCACGTTTTCTGGCCAGCTGCCACCCGCACTAAACAGCAAACCAGTTCCTCCCATCATCCTCCCCAAAGAACCCAAAGCCAGGTGAGTCTGTGAAGCCTTTACCTCTTTACATGTTCAGAAACAGCCTAAAATCAAAAGAGACAAATAACAAATTTGAAGCACGTTTTAGGTTTTTAATATTGCATTGTGACATTATTTTCAAGAAAATGTCTTGCTCTCTGTAGTAGCGATTTCTCTGTAGTCCACTGGTTTTTAATTAATGTAATGTGAAAAAACCCCATGAAAAATAAGGGTCAATTTTTCGAAATTGAGATTTATACATCATCTGAAAGCTGAACAAATAAGCTTTCCATTGATGTATGGTTTGTTCATATTTGGCCGAGATACAACTATTTGAAAATCTGGAATCTGAAGGTGCAAAAAAATCTAAATATTGAGAAAATCATCTTTAAAGTTGTCCAAATGAAGTTCTTAGGAATGCATATTACTAATCAAAACTTAAGTTTTAATATATTTACAGTAGGAAATTTACTAAATATCTTCATGGAACATGATCTTTACTTAATATCCTAATGATTTTTGATATAAAAGAAAAATCAATCATTTTGTACCCATACAATGTATTGTTGGCTATTGCTACAAATATCCCCCAGCGACTTCAGACTGCTTTTGTTCTGCAGGGTCACATATTTAAAACATTAGGGAAAACATGAGTAAATCTCATTGTTGTGTTTTACATTGCTTTTTATTTGTGCTGAATTTATAAAACTAAATAATAGAAAATTTTTGTTTTAGTATCACTTGATAAACTATTATAGTTTTTTGTTAATTGTTTGATTTGGTTTTTATATTTGATTTTGAAATTTTAATTTCAGTTAAAGGTTTAGTAATTTAAGCTTTAAAGGGTTAGTTCACCCAAAAATGAAAATTAGGCCATAAATTACTGAGCAACGGAAGCAAAGTTTCCTTACTTTAGCAAAGCAAAACCAGTCTCCTCTTGGCTTATATCGAAATCCTCCGACATTCTTCTTTACAAATCCTCGTTTTGTACTTCTAACTCTTGACCGTTGTTTTGTTTTGATCTCTCCGCTGCGTTTCCGCGTGCATCACTTCTGAGCGGCGCATGCGCAACGCTGACCTCATACGTCATCCGCCCGGAGCTGCTTCTGTTTACAACAGTGAGCGCAAGCTACATTAAAGTGATTATTACATTTTGAATATGGATATTTTTCTTACAAAAACGCATCGATTCACTACAGAAGGCCTTTGTTCACCCCCCGGAGCCGTGTGAGACACTTTTTTTTTATGGATGGGCGCTTTTTATTTAACTTCTTTTGAACTGAAGCAATGCAACACCTGCTGAGTGGCGTTAAGCAGCTTGAAAGATCAAAAACCATTTTTAATATAACTCCGACTGGATTCGTCTGAAAGAAGAAAGTCTTCTTTCCTATACCTATACACCTATGATGACTTGAGGGTGAGTAATTTATGGGCTAATTTTCATTTTTGGGTGAACTAACCCTTTAAGCTGGGCAAACAGTCACGTTGCTTTCTCTATGCAAAATTTTATTTTTTACTTTTTTTAGTGGTGGTGGTGAAATATAAGATGCACAGTATTGGAAGCCTATTTTGGGTACAGTAAGATTATTTGCATAATGATATTATTTTCATGCAAATGTCTCCAACCTCCAAGACCGATTCTTGGTAGTCCACTGTAAAGCAGAAATTAAATTTTCATTAATCTAATATGAAAAATAATATTTAAATGGTAAAGTAAAAATGTTAGTAAAGCTCACGGTTGTATTTGTTACGTGGCTTTTTATTTAATAATAAAAAAAGTACTGGATGATTTTAGTGTTATTTTAGCATCATTGATATACTATTATTAGATTTTGTTAACATTTTAATTTCAGTTAAAGTTTTAGTCATTTTGTTATGTTTTTTTGTTGTCATTAGATTTTTTCTTTTTACAGTTTTTTTTTTTTCAACTGCTTGCACACAAAATCTTTACTTGTCACACAATTTCTGAAAGCTGACACTCAAACAGCAGAAGCACACACCAAATCTGCAAAACCATACGCTAATACTCGGCCTTTGACTCGGTTTTCAATTTCATAAAACACTTTTTGCAAAACACAACACATAATTCTCTATGCAACACACACAAATCTAAGAGGAATTAATATTATGGCAAAGGTGTTTGCAAATGTTTGCTTTTGAGATGTGCTTGTGATGTTTTGAATGCAGTGCTTCATTTTGCAAGAGATGTGCATTTTGCATTTTGTGTGTGCAATTCTTGGATTTGTGCATAAAGTTTTGAAAAAAAGAGGCAAAGTTTTGAAAATGTGTCTAAGCAGGTGAAAAACACTGTAAACATGTCCATAGTTTTTATTACATTTTAGTTGTAATTAGTTTAGTTGATTTAGTTTTAGTTATTTTAGTGCTTGAATGAAATGAGAAATGTTGCCTTGTCAACTAGTTGAAATATGTTTTGTTTTACCATTTATTTTAGTTAATGTTCATTTTATTGCAAGTAACAATGTTTTATGGTTTTAGTTAACAGTAATAATCCTGTATTTGTCTTTTTGTTTTTTTTTTAAGAACATTTGTGGTCAGTTTGGGCTTATTTGACATGAAAATAAAGTCGCATTGCTTTCTTTAAGCAAAATAATTTCTTTCCTTTTGATTTTTGTCATGAAATATAAGAGGGCCATTTCTCTGTGACATTTGCTTCTTCACTTTTTGAACAATGTCTGTTATAATTCAATCTACAGGCTTTGACTTCCATCAGTTGTAAAACGAGACCAAACTGTATGTATAAGCATATTTTCTTATCCGCTGACAAACTCAAATGCAGTAAATATGTTGTTTTTCCAGTCCTCCTCCTCCTCCTCCATCTCTGGACAGCACAGGTGAGCACATCTGTTATTTTTTGTTATTCTGTTATGGTATGTCACATGAAAACAATGATAAGAATCATTCATAATTTCCATATTCTTCATTCATGTTCTTTCCTCACACAGGAGCAAAGCCAGTCGCTCAGGTAAACACTACAGACACAATCAATCAGTGTTTGTGATTGGTGACAAACTGCTAAAGCTGTCTCTGCATTCCGTCTCTGATTGGCTGACTGGTTTGCTCACGATCAGGGGGCGGGGCTACAGGACAAAGAGTGGTTTGCTGGAGTTTGTGAACGCAAGACTGCAGAGGAAACTGTGCTCAGGATTAACAAGGTGTGTCTATTTAAATATAAACATTTACATTTGATTTAAATGCTGCATGGTTATTATCTAAATGGCAATGTTGCATTCAATTAAAGCAATAAAATAAAATAATAAAAAGATGATAATGAAATGTAAAAAAAATGAATGAAATATAAATATTTACATTTTATTTGAGTGCTGCATGTTTGTCATCATATTGTTCTGAAATTAAGCAATAAAATAAAATAATGAAATCTAAGATAAAATGACAAAATAATACCATCCTCAGGATTAACAAGTCGTGTCTCTGTTTATGTGTGATTTTTATTTTGGTATGCTTATCCTGGGATTGGTCATTTGAATCATATTGTTCTGAAATTAAGCTACTAAATATAGTATAAAATAATTAATAAAATAAAATAGAAAATAAAATACATTTAATTAAAATGCTTCATGTTTATCATCTAAATTGGAATGTTCTGTCGAGTTCCTAAATAAAGCAGTAAAATAAAATAAAATATAAAATATTTGTATTTATTCATATAAAATATTTATCATAGCACTTGTTGATTCTGATTGCTTCCATTGTCCTCATTTGTAAGTCGCTTTGGATAAAAGCATTTAGACTGAATGTAATTATATAATGACAAAACTGCATTTACGATTAAAAATGTAGCACTGTTTATAAGCGATTTGTATTTTCTATTTAGTTAAATGCATATTTATCTTCTATATGTGATTGTTGATGTATATAGTTAGTTAACATTCACTAGTTTTGGGCCGTGTACAGTATATTTGTCATGTGTGTGTCTGGCAGGACGGCACGTTTCTGGTCAGATACAGCAGTTCTCAGAATGACCGTCAGCCCTTCACGCTGGTCGTGCTTTACCGGCAGAGCGTTTACAACATCCCGGTGCGCTTCCTGGAGGATTCGCAACAGTACGCGCTCGGAAAAGAGGGCAAGAAGACAGAAGAGGTAGAGGAGGAGAGGAAGATCTGTGTTATGTGTGACGTCTGCACATCTGTCTGTCTGCTTTCACTTCAAATTCACATGCAGTGTGACAAGGACCACAGTTATGACCCTGGAGCACAAAACCAGTCATAAGGGTCAATTTTTTGAAATTGAGATCTATACCTCATCTGAAAGCTGGACAAATAAGCTTTCCATTGATGTATGGTTTGTTAGGATAGGACAATATTTGGTCGAGATACAACTATTTGAAAATCTGGAATCTGAGTGTGCAAAAAAATCTAACTATTGAAAAAAAATCACCTTTAAAGTTGTCCAAATGAAGTTCTTAGCAATGCATATTACTAATCAAAATGTTTTTGAATAGCAATATGCATTACTTTTAAGAAAAGTTTTGATATATTTACGGTAGGAAATTTACAAAATATCTTCATGGAACATGATCTTTACTTAATATCCTAATTATTTTTTGGCATAAAAGAAAAATCAATAATTGTGACCCATACAGTGTATTGTTGGCTATTGCTACAAATATCCCCCAGCGACTTAACACTGCTTTTGTGCTCCAGGGTCACATTTATGCATTTGGCAGACACTTTTATCCAAAGTGAAATACAATGCATTCATTTTTTTTTTAATTAATGCATTCCCTGGGAATCGAACCCATGTCCTTGGTGTTGCCAGCGCCATGCTCTAATTTTTAGGCTGAACTTAAAGCACTTTAAACATACTCCAAATAATTTTTTAGATGCATCACTTATTTAAATGATGTTTCACACAATTATTTTCAGAGGGATTGTTGAAATGCTTGCGTTTTGGCATTTTATTTTATTTCAGTTAATGTTTATTTCTTTCAAGTAATGAAAACGTTTTTAAATTACTTTAATTTTAGTTGAAGTTTAATGTGTTTTTTATCTATGTTTTGCTTTTAAATTTATTGAATCATTTTTGACATTTGTGTGTTTGTATAGTATATATATATATATATATATATATATATATATATATATATGTTGTGTATGTGTGCATATATATAATTTTATATGTACACACAAAATGATTCAAAATGTCAGAAATAAAAATATAAAGTAAATAATAAATAATTATGTGTGCGTGTGTGTATGTATATATTTTCAAAAGTTATTGAAAAAAATATAATGTCAAAGCAAAACTGCAGCATGACAGTAAATATGGTATAGTTCTGATGATCTGTGTGTGTGTGTTCTGCAGCTCTTCAGCAGTTTGCAGGAGATGATCTCTCATCACATGAAGAACCCCATCCTCCTGATCGACCGTAAGAGTCAAGCTAAACACAGCACTCTCCTCTCACGCCCCGTTCGGCCCTAACGCTCCCGTCCCGCTCTCATTTCAACCCCCACCGCCTGATACTGACCCTGATCTCACAAACACTCACTCATACTCTGCCTGAATTATTTATTACATTGTGTTTGTAATGCACTCCGATGTTCATAGTACGTCTTGTGTTCAGTACATTTCATGTTTGGGGATTTTTGAATGTATGTAGTGTTCATTAACTTTAGTTAAACTCTATGCATATACTGTATAATGTTTACAGGACAACTTGTTGTCTCGTGTAAAATAGTTAATAAAGAAAGAAAAAAACAACATGTGACCTTTTCTGGCATTTTTTCCCACACTAACTTTACAATCAAATTAAAACAAAATGACAGAAACTGAAATATGATTTCATGTGGGCGTTGTAAAGATACTGTACTTTGAAACTATAAGCTAATCGTAATGTTAAGTGGTAAAGCCGTACAGACGGGGTACTATCTGATAAAATATTTATCAACATTGTGGTACTTTGAAATGATTTGCATATTAATGTAGCGTGATGTTTACATGACAGATCCTTGAAATGTCGATTTATACGTCAAACAATACCATGCTACTTTATTATGTTTCATGTGTTTGTTTATGAAGTGCTATTAGCATTAACTGAAACTATTTAAACTTTTGTTTATTGAGAAAAATATATAACAACTTAGTTACAGTTTCAGTAAATATTTCAGTTTGTTGCCAAAGGAATATTTTATAGCTTTAGTTTAAGTACTTACATTTCTAAAACATACCAGTTAACTAAAGTTACTAAAAATAACCAAACTAAAATGTAAAACTAAATAGACTTTTAATAAAAGAAACAAAAACATTAAATTAAATTGTTAATTTAAATAAAATTAATGTTAAATAAAATGTTAAAAAACACTTTCAGTAAAATATAAATTTGTTGAAGAAGGAATATTTTATAGTTTTAGTTTGTTAAAGTACTTTAATTACTAAAACTAAAAATAACTAAACTAAAATATAAATAAATAATAAAAACTAAACCGAAACATTAAATAAAGAAATAAAACAATTGAAATAAACGTTACCTAAAATATAAAAAAAGCTTAAAGAAAAAAAGCTTTCAATTTTTTACAAGTATTTCAGTTTTCTGCCAAATTAATATTTTATTTTTAGGTTGAAATAATTAAATTAACTGAAAAAAAATAAAAAAATAAATATATATATAAATTTAATAGACATAAAAAAGCATCTGGTAATTTAAATAAAATAAATAACTAAAAAAAACTGTTATACTTTCATTAAATATTTCAGTCAGTTGTGTCATATTTTATAGTTTAGTTAGTTTAAGTTCAAGTACTTATTACTTGAAATGAAATAAAAATGGAATGCAAATAAAATCAAACGAATGAAATAAAATTAACTAAAAATTAAAAAAAAGAAAAGAAAACAAAAACACAATCATAAAAGGTAAATTAAAATGAAAATATAAAAATAAATTCAAAATACTGTCTATAGTCTTGTATGAGTGATAGTAGAACAGCAGTGCTGTTGTTGTTGTTGCTTGCGGCTGCTGCTCTGAGTGAGTGTGCAGAAATAGACCCCAGTATTCCTGGCTGGAGGGGGGAGTTCCTGCTGTCACATGCTCGGGTACAGCTGACCCCCTCACACTCCCTTCACCCGCAAACCCACGCATTTCCCTGCTTCATACCCCACTGAGCTCCTGTGTGTGAGAGTGTGTTTACAGCATCTGCGCCGCAGGACAGGCGGCTCGTATCAGTGCGCGCGGATCTACTTTCTCACGCGGAAGAGTCCCGCTGCGCTCCGAGAAGAAGAAGTCCGAGACGCAGAGGTTCACGAGCATTCACCGAATAACCGCGTCTAACGGGACACACACACAACTCTTCATCTGCGCCCCCTCCTCCTCATCTTCCTCCTCTCCTCTCCGTGAGAATGGCGCAGATTTTGCCGATCCGCTTCCAGGAGCATCTGCAGGTAAAACCGCACGGGCTCACGCAGCGTTCGTGGCTTAAACCGTAAACACGCAACTGTGCAACGGCGGCCTCGTGCACGGGTCACATAGTTGACACATATGTGACATTAGAGAATATAGAGTTGCGTTACATGTTACACAGTTGCCTGGCATTTAAAAGAATGACGGTAAAGAGATTGTTAGCTTACATAGTAACAACGTTCCATGACGTGTCAGAAATTGTTACATAGTTGCATGACATTTAGACTATTACAGTTACTGTATCATGGAATGTTTATTTTGTGTGTGTGTGTGTGTTTGTGTGTGTGTGTGTGTGTGTGTGTGTGTGTGTGTGTGTGTGTGTGTGTTTGTGTGTGTGTGTGTGTGTGTGTTTGTGTGTGTGTGTGTGTGTTACACAGTTGCACTTGCCCAACATGCTGGTTTTTATTAACATTATTCAATATCAATATTTTAGGTTACAACTAGTCCACTTTGATTTGTATTATTACATATAAAAAGGGTTATAATATTAAGTATTTTTACATATAGTATTATGTTAAGTATTGCTACATATAACAATATTCCATGTACAGTAATAGAAGCTCTGAAAACGGCTTGAATGATCATTATACACAAATTAGAACTAGTTTTAGATGAAGTACAGTTCTTGAAATTGTATTTCAATCACCCAGCATGGTGGAAATTGACACATTGCGACATGCATTGCATGATAAATTGCACAGTAGTTGCATGGTATGCAAAAAATACTTACTGTAGTGAAAAAAGCATCTTTGCTGCAGCGAATTTTAGAGATGATGAAACTGTTAATAATATTTGAATGACTCTTCATAATGCGTTGTGCAGGTACAGTAGTGTATGTGCAGTGAAATGCTGTATTATAGCCTTAATTTATGTAAACAAGGGCTATAAATTGCACATTTAAAGTTGTTTGTGACATCTCGCAGCTTCTGAATGTATGTTTAAGTGCTTTGAAGCTCTTTTGTAAGTTGTTATTGGAACCAGTTGATTTAGTGTTTTAAGGCTGATGTATTGACAATAGTGTCTCTTTTCTCTCTCTACTGCATTAGTCAGATGAGCTTGTGTCTGTAATTGTGGGTTGGAAATGCACCGTCAGTAACTCCAGACATGCGGTATTCCTGTTCAGCACAGTGCTGTGTCATGTGTGGCTTAAAAACACACTTCGGATAGCACCGTCTGCAGTCTTTAAAGGAATAGTTCACCCTAAAATGAATATTTGCTTAATGTGCTCACCCTCAGGTCATCCAAGATGTAGATGAGTTTGTTTCTTTATCAGATTTGGAGAAATGCAGCATTGCATCAGTGTCTCAGCAATGGGTGCTCTGCAGTGAATGGGTGCCGTCAGAATGAGAGTCCAAACAGCTGATAAAAACATCACAATAATCCACAGCACTCCAGTCCATCAGTGAACATCTTGAGAAGACAAACGCTGAAACAAATCCAGCATTAAGATGTTTTTAACTTCAAATTTTAATTGTGGGTAGATCACTGAGGAAGCGTTATTATGGATTATAACTCATAGTTTGTCCAGAAGCAACAGTTTGAAGTTAAAAACACCTTAATGATGAATTTGTTTCTTACAAAGATGCAGCTTTTGACTTCACAAGACGTTAAGACTGGAGTGGATTATTGTGATGTTTTTATCAGCTGTTTGGACTCTCATTCTGACGGCACCCATTCACTGCAGAGCATCCGTTGCTGAACAAGTGACTGAATGCTACATTTCTCCAAATCTGATGAAGAAACAAACTCATCCTAATCTTGGATGACCTGAGGGTGAACACATTTTCAGTATATTTTCATTTTTGGATGAACTATTCCTTTAGTTTTCTGCTTGAGTGTGATAAGATTCGGGACTCTTCTTCACTCTTTTCTTCTGCATTAGAGTTGCTCTCCTGCATTGAAGTGTGTGTTCTGTGGATCCATTGGAAACAATGGGACAGTGTTATTTTGGAGATGAGGGCCTCAGTGCCAAACGCTAATGAAGTTTCATTCTACACGCCTTTGAAAATATTCTCCATGACAGAGACGTGCGAGCGTTTCTCCGACTGTCCCAGCCTCACCTTTCCACAGGCCGTGTTTTCTTTGTCGTTCACAGAACGCTTCTGGAATTCACTCTGTAGCTGATTGAAACCAGATGCTGCCGTCTCATTTAGATGTACGGCTGCTTCACTGGGATTTGAGATGATATTTTGTTGTAAAATGTGGAATTTCATAGCGTGTCTCTTGAGATACTGTCCCTCCATGTTCTCTCTCTCTCTCTCTCTCTCGTGTTATTCCGGTGTCGGACGCTCAGCCGGTGCAGTTCGGTTAAAGAATGCCAAGAATCTGCAGCCGGCAGGACTTTGTGTCTTTAGCAGCTTGGCTTTATGTCTTGAACGTGTGTTTGAGTTTGAGTTCATTCAGAGCTGGATTATATTGATACAGTTTGATCCTGAATGGAACTCTGTGTGTGTGTGTGTGTGTGTGTGTGTGCTTTTATAAATAGACACAGTTCATTCTGCTCATGTCTTATAAATATGTTGAGCTGGAAAAGGAACAAACACACAGATATAAATATCCAGCTTCACTAGTCTTCAAATAACTTCTTATAGATCTTAAAAGCATATGATTTAATCTGTAACACCAGATTTGACATAAATGCTCTTTATTATTTAAATTACTACTTGGTTTCATTATTCAAATTACATTTTTTTAATATATATTTTTATTGTTTAAATGACAATTTAAAAACTTTTATTGTTTGAATGACTTGTTTCTTTTATTTTTATTAAGTTTATTTTTATTTTTGATTATTTCAATGTCTATTTTTTATTTATTTTTATTATTTAAATAAATTTTTTTTTTTAAAATTTTTATTATATAAAATACTATATCTTGTTCTGCTCATGCTTATGGGGTTATTTTTGCCGTGTCATTTTTCTCTGTCCTCTGATTGGCTGCTGATGTAAAGCTGTAACCCAATAGAGATTTGGCTAATGGAGTTATGAGCAGGAAGAGGAAACATGTTTATCAACAGCATAAACTGACACAGAGGACTAGTTTTATTACACACACACTCAAAATTAAAATATAAATATCTTTAGTTGAACTCATTGCTTTTTGATTTTGTGTTTTGAGCGGAATATGACTGAAGTAGTCTTTCCTGTCTTTAATATCAGTTGATTTTAGATGAAAAAATATTGTTGTTGTAACAGTGTCTGCTAATATTTAACCCTTCTAGCAATGATTATCGCACACACAACAGGGTTAGAGTTACTCGAAATAAAACAAACATAAGCAACTGCGATAAAAGTAAAAAAATCTTAATTTTATTTCAGCTTTTTGGTAAGGAAAAAAAATGTATCCTTTTCATTGACCTACTAAAAACTTATAAACATGAAAAAACCCACAACAAAATGACTAAAACTTTAAAATTCATTTAAAAATTGTAAATGTGAAAATATAAATGTTTATATTTATAAAATATTTATTAAAAAACTATATTAGTATCTCAATGATTTATTTATATACTAATTTTATATATATATATACTATTTAATAATGTTTTGAATTAACTTGAACAAAATTAATGTTTTCATTTTCATTTAAATTTGAGTAATTTCTTTGTGCTTTTGTCATTTTTATTAATATTTTTTAAATATTTCTATTTCGCTTTAGTTTATATTTATTTCAGTTTTTAGTAGTTTTAGAACTTCAACTTAGTTCAGTTAGTTTCCAAAGCAATAAGTTTAAGTTTTCCATCTAATATTTACAAGGGCATAGAATTTAGTAGGGTTTTACCACAGTTTTACTACAAATGCCATGTTTAAACTATAGTAACCATGTTTTTTCACCTTAAGAGGACACATAGAGATACAGTTTTCACTGGTTTAGGATTAACGGAACTTAGATAGTATCCATGTACTTGTCTAGATAAACTTTGAATAAAAAAAGAGAGATTTACTGCCAGATTTTTGTTTGTGAAATGTAGCTAGCAGGAAACACAAATTAAAGGGGTCACATGATGTGATTTCAAGCTCTTACAAGCTCTTGGTGCATAAAGAAGATCTGTAAAGTTGCAAAGACTAAAGTCTCAAATCCAAAGAGATATACTTTATAAAAGTTAAGAGTAAACCACGCCTACCTAAAACGCCTCGTTCTAACACGCCCCCACATACCTACCTCACTATGTGGGAAGATTTGCATAACACTGCCCAAGTGTTCACGCAAAGAAAGAAGGCGTAACTTTTATTCTCGCTGTAGTATTGTTGTTGCTGCCGCCGCCGCCATGTCGTGAAGACGCTGTGTGTTTCGTTGTGAAAGCGAAACTACTTTGTTTGGTCTTCCAAAAGAGGACACGACTAGAAATCAGTGGTTAAGTTGTATTTACAACGCTGTTCCAGAACAGTTCAACCCAAATATTCAGATGTGTGCAACGCATTTTATGGAGGACTGTTTCCTGATCCTGGTAGAAGACTGTAAGTACGTTTTCATATTTAAAGGATTTGCCACTGATGATTCAGACGTGAGTTTTGAGCAGTGTAGAGTAGTGCTTGTTTGTCATTTCTCTGATCACAAATGCAGACATGGTTTTAAGTTTACGCGGAGCGATGCAACGCAACGAGTAAAAAGACAGTATAAGTCATTATAATCAGTAATTATGTCCCCACTGGATGCAACAAATGCCTCGTTTATAATGGGTTTTAATGTTTTTGTCTCGTCGCTCCGGGACACAGCATCACAGTATGTGAGGGGCGTAACATTTCCGTCACACGCTTGAGGTATTCGGCCAATCACAACGCACTGGATAGCTGGCAAATAACAACTGATTTTTCAGACCGATGAGCTTTGTAAAAATCGACGCGTTTCAGAAAGGCGGGGCATAGAGGAGAAACAATAATGTACAGTATGTGGAAAATAATGTGTTTTTTAACCTTAAACCACATAAACACATTTCATTACACCAAATAATGTTTTTTTAGCAACATCACGTGACCCCTTTAATATTTCTGAAGGCGGATAATTGATAAAAGTTACGATTTTTTTAATTATTCTGAAGTTAGAAGGCCAGTATAATTAATAATAAATCATGTAATAGTGATCTTTCCATTTTAGAGCATTGTACTCATAACAACAGTCATGGTTTTGATTTCCCCGTGATTACTAAATGTTTACTTTTGAATTCATTTTTGATAAAAGTGTTTGCCAAATGCATGAATGTAAATGTCTTGCAGTAGGAGATCAGTAAGCGGAAGAGACCGAGACAGAGTCTGCTTCATCTCATTCTGCTCGGAGACGGATCATCATCATCATCATCATCATCATCATCGTCATAGACGAGCCCATGGGAAATGAGTTTACCTCCTCATTAGTGTGTGTGTGTGTGACTGGACATCTGGAGCTTTCTGCCCCACTACATCTTGAGTGTCCTGTGGGACTTTAGTGAGGACGTCTCATAGATGCAGTGCTTCTCATACAGGTCTAATGCTGCTGTATGTAACCCTTCACTCAAACCTGTCTGATTAAAGCCACACCTAACTTAGCTGAGTTATGAGTCTTTATAAATCCTGAAGTCACTGTTCGACAGGCTTCTTTACATTGGTGAGGAGAATTTTCACTAATAATGTCATTTTGGATCTTTGTTACTCCTAAAACTTCTCTTATTTAAAAAAAACTATTTTTTTTACATTGTCATTTTTTATTTTTTTTATTTAATAAATTATTTTTTGTAATGTTTTTATTTTAAGTAGATTTTTATTTAATTAATGTTTATTTATTTAAATGTTATTTTAGTCTTATTTTAATTGTCTTTAATTTATTTGAATGTTTACATTTGCATTTAATTTTCAGCAAGTGTTTTATTTGGATTATTTATATTTTTTAAATAATGAATTTTAATTGTATGATTTTATTCATTTTTAGTACGTTTTATTTTGATGATTTTTATTTTTTTAAATTAGATTAAAACTTCTATTGTTTTAGCTTTTTAGGTTACAATCATTGTTGGTCATTGCTCTTGGTAATGTTGACTATGTGAGTGTGATAGTATATATATTTTTCATATTTTATAACCGTTTTCATTTTACTTGAAAGTATGAAACTGTAGATGTATGTAAATTGCAGACCGCTTCATTCAAATGAGTCCCGTTACGTAATGTTTCTAAAGCAGCTGCTTTCCTCATCGTCTTTGCATTAAATCATCAGATTAGGTGTGTTTGAATTACTGTATATCAGAAACAGACAGATATTTACATTTTCAAGCTGACAATGGGGCTCTTCATTTGGAAATTTTGGCCTGTAAAAAACAAATGACTCGTGTGTTGGTTGTTTAAAAATTTGTATTCATTTCCAGCAAAAAAACATAAATCATTGTTTTTAATTTTAAGCATGCAGTTATTGTTACACGAATCTCAGAATCAGGAAATCTGAAACAAAATAAGTAGTATATGAAAAACATGAAAAATATTAAGTTGAAGTACTAAAACTAAGATATAAGATAAAGCTAAATAGAGAAATATTAAAAAATACTGTAATTTGTCATTTATTTTTTAGCAAGTGTTTTATTCTGATTGTATTTTTAAAATTATTTTAATGTGATTGTTTTTTATGATTTACATTTTTGAGGGTGTCTTTTATGTTTTTACTTTAAAAGTATTCATTTTGACATTTTATGCTTTAATCATTTTTTGCAAGTGTTTTGTTTTCGATTGTATTTTTTCTTTTCTTTTCTTTTGTTTTTTATTGTTTAATTTAACATATTAAAGATATTTACATTTAAAGCTGACAGTAGTTCACTTTAGTTATTGTGTTTTGGCCTGTACATAAATGACGTGTGTTGCTTGTTCAAAATGTGGCCTAATTTGCAGTGAAACATATTGTTTTTGATTTTAAAGCATGCTTTTCTTGTTCAATCTCAGGATCTTATCCAGACAGAGAGAGAGAGAGCCGAGCCGTATCTAGAGACCAAACATCAGGTTTTGTGAAGATGTTCATTAGAGCACTAAATACACACTCACTCCTCTATCTGTCCTTGTGTGTGTGTTTGAGGGAGTTGCTGAGACAAGGAAAGGGAGGAAAGAGTTGTGGCTCTATTTCCTCTGACTCAGTGTGTGTGAGTGAGTGAGTGCGTGTGTGCGTGAGAGTGTGAGAGTGCGTGTGTGTGTGTGTGTGTGCGCGTGTGTGTGTGTGAGTGTGTGTGTGTGTGTGTGTGTGTGTGTGAGAGTGAGTGTGTGAGAGAGTGTGTGTGTGTGTGTGTGTGTGTGTGAGAGAGAGTGTGTGTGTGTGCGTGTGTGTGAGAGTGAGAGTGCGTGTGAGTGTGTGTGAGAGAGTGTGTGTGTGAGAGTGAGTGTGTGTGTGAGAGAGAGTGTGTGTGTGTGCGTGTGTGTGTGAGAGAGAGTGTGTGAGTGTGTCTGTGTGAGTGTGAGAGAGTGAGTGTGTGAGAGAGAGTGTGTGTGTGTGCGTGTGTGTGTGAGAGAGAGTGTGTGTGTGAGAGAGAGTGTGTGTGTGTGTGTGTGTGTGTGTGAGAGTGAGTGAGTGTGAGAGAGAGAGAGAGTGTGTGTGTGTGTGTGTGTGTGTGTGAGAGTGAGTGAGTGTGAGAGAGAGAGAGAGTGTGTGTGTGTGTGTGTGTGTGTGTGTTGGCCGTAGGCTGCTCTACAGTATCTCCAGTCCTTGTGTAAGCGTGTGTTCCCATCAGACAGACAGCAGGTTTTTGTTACGCCCGTGATTCTCAGAAGTGAATCATTCAGAGAAATCATTCTGAAGAATGTGAGCTTTCTCCCGTCTGTATAATCCAGACCGGTTTACTGTTTCATATACAGCTGTGCTGAGAGTTTAGACCAGTGAGAGTTCACTATGAGGAAAATATCAAAGATAATGTCAAAATATTTTGTGCACAGCTGCTTAGAGCAGAAACTGTTGGTTAACATCAGAGATGTTTTATCGCTCGATGCTTTATTGCAGGAATGACCAAATATTGTTTTGCTTGTGTGTTTGTTTTGGTCAGCTGAACCTCTTTGAGCTGAAATATTTACTTGAAGTACCCCTGAGTTTTCAAGTTTATATTTCAATTACACTGACACATTCACATGTTCACCGTTCTCTGATGTCACAGGTCACATGACATGCAGGTAAACCAATCAAATAAATAGTTATACTTTGATTATTAATATTAAATAATTTTAGTTTACATTTTTATGATAAATATAGTTTTATTTCGATTATTTTAAAAATATTTATTAATTTGACATTTTATTGTTTGTTTTATTTTTTTCTTTATTAATTTTACTTTAACATTTTGTGATTTAATAAATTTTTAGTGTCTAGAATATTTTTGTTTTATGATTTAATTGCTTTATTTAGATTTTTTTAGATATGTTGCATTTTTATGATTTAATTATTTGTTTCATTTGTGATTTATTAATTGTGTAATTGTTTAATTATTTTTGAATCATTAATTTTATTTGACATCTTATGATTTAATTGTTGTTTTATTTAGATTTTTTAAAAGTGTTATATTAATTTTGCATTTCTATGATTTAATTTTTAAATGTAAAATTTTTACAATCCATCCAAATGAAATCCTTACTAAAAATGAAATCCTAAAATATATAAAAAAAATTAAAAAAGAATTAAAAAAATAAAAACACTTATTTTTAATTTGACATTTTATGATTTATTAAATTTTCAGTAAGTGTTTTAATGTGATTGTTTATTTTTAATCATTTAAACAATTTTACACTATGATTTAACAGAAGTGTTTCGCTCATTTTTATATCAAAATTATTTTTGATTCTTTTTTTTAATTCATTTTTAGAAAAAGTTTTATCTAAAAACGTAAAGTCAAAAGTTTTAAAACATTTATTAATCTTGAGTTTACTTTTTGAATTTTTATGTCAATAATTAGACTATTAAAAAGTCATAAAATGATTATGACAAAAATCGGAGATTGCATGTGTGTTGTTGGCTCAGCTGGTTCGGACAGGTGGAGTGTTTCTGAGTGCTGTCCCTGTCTCTCTCTAGCTGCAGACGCTGGGAGTGAGTCCGGCTAGCATCAGCTTCAGCTGCCTGACCATGGAGTCGGACCGCTTCATCTGCATCCGAGAGAAGGTGGGCGAGCAGAACCAAGTGCTGATTGTGGACCTGAGCGACCCGAGCAGCCCGATCCGCCGGCCGATCACGGCAGACAGCGCCATCATGAACCCGGCCAGCAAAGTCATCGCTCTGAAAGGTGCCCATCAAATCAGTCTGACGTGCTTCATTGTGTTGCTGTTCTCTGATATGCTTCTCAGAAATCTGAACTCTCTCTAACCACTAAACCGCTCTCGCTCTGCTCTGCTCTGCTCTTGTTGAAGATGATGGTGAGTTTCTCCGTCGTTCTGGATTGATGTCCGTCAGTCGTGCTCTGATCATTGACGGCCCACATACAGTACATATGTGACCCTGGAGCACAAAACCAGTCATAAGGGTCAATGTTTTTATGCGTCATCTGAATAAAGCTGAATAACTAAGCTTTCCATTGATGTATGGTTTGTTAGGATCGGACAATATTTGGCTGAGATACAACTCTTTGGAAATCTGGAATCTGAGGGTGCAAAAAAATCTAAATATTGAGAAAATCATCTTTAAAGTTGTTTAAATGAAGTTCTTAGCAATGCATATTTCTAATCAAACATTAAGTTTTGATATATTTACGGTAGGAAATTTACTAAATATCTTCATGGAAATCACCTAATGATTTTTGGCATAAAAGAGAAATGTATAATTGTGACCCATACAATGTATTGTTGGCTATTGCTACAAATATCCCCCAGCGACTTAACACTGCTTTTGTGCCGCAGGGACACATTTATAACGTCTCATATGTGTGTAAGCGTCTGTGTCCCGTTGACTGAAGGCCGATTGACCGTGCTTCCTCACATATGCATGACCGCTGTGTGCATTTGTACTTTCTGAGCCTTATTTTTCTGACAAAAGTGAGCTAAATCTTACAAAACCTCCTTTTATGGAAATCAAGGGATATCCTCATTTGGATAAACTATATAAAAAACTATATACATATTTAATTGTAAAAATGCATACATTTTTCTGTTAGGGTGTGGTAGTAGATTTTATTTGGATTTATTTGATTAATTATTTATTTTACTTTTTATACTTTAATTTTTAGAAAGTTTTATTTAATGATTCAATGTTTTTATTTAAATTTTTAATTTTTGTAATTTAAATTTCAGTATGTGTTTTATTTTTATTAATATATATATATACTTAGATTTAATTGTTTTATTTGATAATAGTTAGCTTAATTAATTATACACTTTTATTAACTTTTTTATTAATCAAAATGAATAAAAAACACTTACTAAAAATTAATTAAATCAAAATGTAAAATGAAAAATAATTTAACAATAAAAACATTTTTAAACTTTAATTTAGTGATTTAATTTAGTGTTTTATTTTTTTATTATTTATATATTAACCTTATTATTCATTTTATTTTTTTAATTTTTGGTTACTTTTTAGAAAGTGTTTTATTTTAAGTGTTTTTATTTTAAATTTGTTTATTCATTTTAAAATCTTAATAAATAATCATTAATCATTTATTTACTTAATCATTTTACATTTAGTAAAATAACATTTTACATCTTTATAATTTATTAAATTTTCAGAGAGTGTATATGTGTGTGTGGGTGTGTGGGTGTGTGAGTGTGTGAGTGTGTGAGAGTGAGTGTGTGTGTGTGAGTGTGTGTGTGTGTGTGTGTGTGTGTGTGAGTGCGTATGTTTGTGAGTGTGTGTGTGAGAGTGAGTATGTGTGTGTGAGTGTGTGTGAGTGTGAGTATGAGTGTGTGAGAGTGAGTGTGTGTGTGTGAGTGTGTGAGTGTGTGTGTGTGTGAGTGCGTATGTTTGTGAGTGTGTGTGTGAGAGTGAGTATGTGTGTGTGAGTGTG